GATCTACAAAAGTAAGTAGATTCAGGAAGGATGAGTTATTTCCTGTTTTCAAACACGGTAGAATTCCGTTCATACGAGTTTCACTTATTCGGACAAAGTTCCAATCAATACTTAATTGAAATGATCTCGTGCTTGTTGGATCCTGTTATTCGAACTATTCGATCAAATCCAGTTATCCCACTACGTGAATGAGAAATCACTAACAGTGATGACATGAATTTACTGAAATACTAAAAAGGTCTGAATGTAATTCAACTCTGTCTATTTAAACTCAATTCTAATCTAAGTGAATTCTTATTAAATCCAATAGGATGTAAACTCCTATTATTTGAAAGAAACATTAGTAATTAAGAGAGTCGATGATCTCCAATTAAAATACTTCAACAAATAAATGTAAATGATGTCTTACTATATACTATATAGTATATATTAATTGTAGGATAGTAAGACATCATTTACACATATATATATATTTGTTTTAGTTTTTTAGTACTGAAGTATAGTAAATAGTATATATTAATTATAGGATACCTTGCTATATACTATATAGTATGTATAGTGTAACTGTAATGTATATGATATACATGGTATAACCATGGTAATATACTATATATATATATATATATATATATATATATATATATATATATATATATATATATATATACTAGAGTATAAAAATTATAGTGATATACTGTAAACTATAAACTATAGTAATATACTATAAAGTATAGTATAGTATATAGTATAGTATATTATACTATAAAGTATAGTATAATATACTATAGTATATACTATAAAACTATAGTAATATACTATACACACTAGAGTATAACTACAGTAACATACTGTACTATGTAGTGTAACTATATACTATTGTATAACTATAGTAACATACTATAGTATGTATAAGTTTATATTAGTAGATTGTAGTATAGTTACAGTATAGTATAATACAGTTAGATATAACTATACTTTATACTATACTATTTAATATAATTAAATATAACTATACTATTAATATAATTAAATATAATAGTATACTATACTATACTAGTATATATACTATAATATAATTAAATATAATAGTATATACTATACTATTTAATATAATTAAATATAACTGTATTATGTTATAGTAAAGTTGTATCATAATATATAGTATATTAGTATAGTTATAACATAATATATATTTATATTATACAGTATTATATAGGTAAATTTCGACCCTCGCATGATTCACTTGTCAGAAACAACAGTTGATGCAACCCAAAACGGAGAAAACAGTCGCCATGTTGTCTCCTGATCCTTCAACCACGTCAATCTTGTTTGAAACGAACCCCAATCGTTCCCATACGACGTCATACCGATTGTATCATCGAAGCCCGATTATGGTAATCGCGCGCGCGCGTGCGCGATGCATAATGCTAGCCAGTCCCCGTCGTTGTCGGGACTTTTTGTGAAAATGTGAACGGAAGACAGAGCATTTCCTGAAGGAGCTCGACGTCGCAAGGAAGCTCCAGAGCGAGCCAACCGGGCAATGTGTGTTTGAACGTAGTCAAAACCCCCTCCTCGTAATCTTCTCCCACTTGCAGATCCTTTCTTGTCCCGAAGCGCGTTAGATCTCCGCGAGATCCTCCGTGTAACATTGTGGCAACAAGGAAGTCGCCGTTGAGGTCTACGGGGGAATTACCGTTTCGCGATAACGTGCTCGAATCGCGAATGCTGGCAACACGCGCTCCAAACCACGACACGCGTGGTGGACATATTAGGTTGTCGCGGACGGAGCGACCAGATTTTTAATATCGGTTTATGGTTAATATTGTAGCTTGTGTTTATTTTATAATTTGTACCTTACATATTTATTATTTTATATATATATTCATTTATTATATTTATATTTACGTTATATATTTATGTTTTTATATTTCTTTATTTATATATTTATTATTTTATTTTTTATATTTATTATATTTATATTTACATTATATATTTATACTTTTATATTTCTTTATTTATATATTTATTATTTTACATATATATTTATTTATATTTTTATATTTATTATATTTATATTATATTTACATTATATATTTATACTTTTGTATTTCTTTATTTATATATTTATTATTTTATATATATATATTTATTTATTTTATAGTTTATACATTTATATAAATTTTTTTCCTTACTCTGTATTATTTCTTTATTACTCTGTTTCATTTTTGCAATTTTCGTGAATCTTCGCGATTAATATAATTATAATTGGAGTTACGCAGGAATCTACCAATCTTCAAAGTGACAAAAAGTTAATTAAACGGATCCCATAATTTCGTGATCTTATCACCTCGTTCAGTAACTCTCACGTTATACGGTTGTTAAAACTACCTAAAGCTATAGTTCCAAGCTAAAATTGTTCCAAACTGTAATATTATAATGTAATCTGTACTCTGTCCCTATTGTCTGCGCTACTCACAATTAAATAACTCATTGAAAAACCATTATGGAACAAGAAATAAAGTGTATCATCAGTAAATGTAAAAGCTCTCCTCCTTTTTTGAAATTGAAACTAGATTTCAATTTCGAACTTTGAATTCAGATTCATAGCTTTCTGCATAACTCGATTCGATTGAAGCTCATGCATTTTATGTTGGAAGACTAGGTGATGCATATTGATCCGAATAAAGTTTTTAATCTTCACAAAAAAAAAAAAAAAAGAAAAAATAGCTCTAATATACATGTATCAAGTATGTTCAATTGGTTAATATCCAAACAGTTGTTAACTAAAGTATTTGACAATTTCGCGACACATAGTTCTCCCTTCTTCGAACGCTGCACTTTGAACTTTGTCGTTAGATTTCATTCACATCATTACAAAGAAAATATTCGGTATTTTTATGATGTATTATAATTAAAGAACAGAAAATAAAAGCGCGGTTAATTTCGACGTTCTATTTAATTAAAATGTTTACATCGTTGCGATAAATTATTGCCTAGCCGTCGGTAGGTTTTAAAACTAGTTTCAGTGAAACTTTTCAACCAATTATCTCTCGTTTTGCACGAGACCAGGAAATGTCCTAATTATTTATGAAGGTGAGTTTGTATAGCAAAGAACAGAGGGTCGAGCCAGTGTGCGAACGCGCGGCGCTAACTTCCGATAATCACAGAATAATAACAATAGGATAAGAATAACATCGTGGTAAAACTGCGATGATTTAACGATCTCCGGGCCTAATTAAATTCTCCGTTGCCATATACGCTGCTGACAAAAATTAGGGGATATTTCAAAATGAATATGAAGCGGTAAAAAAAAGGAGCGTTTGATTTTGCTTTTCTGCTTTTCTTTTTTAGTTCAGTGAAAATCTTATTTTTATTCTACATATATATATATAATATATTTGAAAATATATGTAAATATTATACATTAATAATTATATATATATATGCTTGTATAATAGATAATATTGTAAATATTATACATTAATAATTATATATGTATAATATTTACATATATTATCAAATATATATATATATGTGGATACTTATTTTATATACTATGATATGTTATCCTCTTTGAACCTCTAATAATAATCACCTAACTCAATTAATTTATTATCGATTATAAGTACGGACTCAAGGGGTTAAAAATAAAAAGAAACTACAATTGAAAGTAACCAAAAAATGATTTGAATAAAACTGATTGAAATAGTTTTTCAAATAAAATGGAAGAAATACATCAACCAACGCGAAAGAATTGAACTCGTGAAAATTGAAAATTTTCTGAAATTTTGAAACTGGAAATTGCGAGTGGTCCTAATTCAATTGTTTATCTTCACGTGCTGTAACATTCCCGTTTTGCAGTTTGTGAACAATTTTTCAACTTTAAATTCTTGTATCAAACTTGACTTCAAATCCTTGCTTTTTCCATTTAAAAATTCTATTTGTTTAACTTTCAGTCGTTGATTTTTCTTCAGTCATGCATTTAGAACGTCGCTTGTCATTAACGGAAGAGTTTAGTTATTAAAATACAATATAATATTTTTATGAATAAAATTATATATGTTATATTATAATTATTATTATATATAATATTATAATATTAATATAAATATTATTTTGTCATTCACGAAAGAATTTAATTATTAAAATACAATATAATATTTTTATTAATGTAATTATATATATATTATATTGTACCATAATACAGTTATTATTATTTATAATATTATAACATTATTATACAATAATACTATATTAATATAAATATAATATTGTAACATTATTATAATATACTATAAATTATATTATAATAATGTTACATAAATATAATATTATAACATTATTGTACAATAATAATATATGAATATAAATATAATACTATAACATTATTATAATATAATATAAATTTATAATAATAATATATTTATTTATTTTATTATATATATAAATTTATATATAATATAAATATAATATAGTATATTATTATAATATATATTATTATAATATAATATAAATTATAATATTAATTATAAAATATTAATTATAAAATAGTATAATATAATAATTAATAATATTATAATATTAATTATGATATAATATAAATTATATTATAATATTGTTACATAAATACAATATTATAACATTATCATACAATAACAATACATTAGTATAAATATAATTATTACGATATTATAATTGTTCCGTCAACTAAGAAGATTCCGACGTTAGAAGCACATTTGCATGACACAAGTCATTTTCTTCAATAAGAGGCCGCTCACGCTGGCCTCCAATTAATTCATTCTCCCTTTAAGAGAAGACATACGTACATAAAACACGTCGCACCTCTCAAAGAAAACCCACGGCCTTCGGCAAGCTTACGTAAACGAGCGCCCAACGAACGTTTGGCCCCCAACCATGTATATTCATTCCATATATTCGTATTCGCGCCGTATCGCGTTGAGCAATTACCGCCGTTCAAAGTTTGTTCACACTCTACCCACCTCGTTTGTCTTCGTGAGCGCAGCGGTGATCCACCAAGCGGCACTGGGTTTCAACCTCTCGGCGGAGGTGTCGCTGGAAAACTGCACCCGTGAACGATCACCAACGCGGTCGCGGTCCACCCGATCGCGTCTCATCGAACGAACTTTGATCCCGATCTCGAGAGCGCAAGAACGCCTCTCGGTATTGGCCGGAACCGTTTTCTCCAAATCCTCTCGTCAATTTCTCTTGGAATACGTCTCCCTCACTCGGTCACTTCTCGGTTAATTTTCGCTTCTCGGGTTCGTTCTTTCTCTCTTTCTACTTTTTTTTTTTCTTTTTTTCACGAGTTCACCGACTCGGTGAATCGCGATCTGCTATCAGAGTGAAGGCTTTTCTTAAGGCCGTCTCGTACTTATGTCGCTGCCCCCACTATCGGGGCAACGCGCCGCGAGCTGTTCAGCTTGCCGGGGCCCCGAACAACGATGCCCCCCCCCCCACCCCCTCCTGAACATAGAAAAGGAAATACGTGCCAGAGCCGGCGACACACTTTCCGTCGGTTCACTCTTCCTTCTGTCTCTCGTTCCACGCCGATGCTTTTTCTTCCGTCGCGAGATCTCATCGTTTTGGCGATGTTTGGCCATGTCTTCCCATTACACGTTGCCGCGCGTTTGAGGATTTCGGATCGCTTCGAATCTAATTCGATTCACTTGAGAAGGTGAGAATTTTGAATTCTGAATTTTGAAGTGTATTGAGTTTGAAAGTCCAAGTGCTTTGCGTTTGATAGTGTTTGACATCATTGAACACACTGTCGTAGATATATATATATATATATATATATATATATATATATATATACATTAGTATATACAATATACGATATAGTATAGTATATATAATATACACTTATTTTAATATAAGTACTTGTAGAGTATATATAGTATATAGTATATAGTACTGTAGTATACTATACTGTATATAGTATATGGTATTGTAGTATACTATACTGTATATACTATATAGTACTGTAGTATACTATACTGTATATAGCATACTATACTATACTATATACTATGTATATACTATACTAGGCTATACTATATACTACATATATACTATATATACTATACTATGCTATACTATATACTATATATACTATACTATATTGTACTATATACTATATATATATACTTTACTATACAATACTATATATACTATATATACTTTACTATACTATACTAATGTACTATATATATACTTTACTATACTATACTAATATACTATATACTATATATAATATACTATACTGTACTATATACTATACAATACTATATATACTATATATACTTTACTATACTATACTAATGTACTATATATATACTTTACTATACTATATTACATATATAGTATATTAATTATTATAGTATACTATTATAACACAATTATACTTGTTATAATAAAATATTAGTACATACGACATAGTAAATACAACAGTGGAACTGTCGACTGTAAATGCATAAAAGTGTACAAACTTGCGTCAGAGAAGAAAAAAAAAACATGCAAGGAGCAGAGAAATCACCTAAAAAATTTAGCATCATAAGATCCCATCGATCGACAGTTTTTAATAATAATATTAAAGGATATTTGCACGGTACAAACAGCTTTTAGCGAGAACTCACTTATCGTAATTGATTTCTCAGCTTTCCACATATATCAGTAAATATTACATTAATAAATATTATTCTGAACAAAATCACTGCTGGCGAAGAATTACACTCCGCGTTTTGTAATTTGCTTGCGGGGTATTTCGCAAACGGGTTAAACGATTGAGACAGGATCCCAAAATAGTGAACTTTATCGGTCCGCTGAAGATTGAAATGCATTCAACTATCCTCATGATTTTGGAAAAAATAGAACAGATAACGTTGCCACTTCTCGTTAATGGAAGTTCCACGATAATTTATGAAACAAAATTGATCCTCGGTCTCTCATATATATTTATAAATATATATGAATTAATATATAAATATTTTATATATATATATATATATATATATATATATATATGAATATTATATATATGTATCATATATAAATATTTTATATATATATGTATCATATATAAATATATATATATGTGTATCATATATAAATATTTTATATATATATTATCATATATAAATATTTTATATATATATTATCATATATAAATATTTTATATATATATACATTATCATATATGAATATTTTATATATATTTATGTTATCATGAATATTTATATATATATGTATCATATATAAATATTTTTTATATATATTATCATATATGAATATTATATATATATTATCATATACAAATGTTTTATATATATAATCATATATGTATATCATATATATATTTATGTATGAGCCATATGTATATATATAAGCTAACTCGAAATCGATCATTTCGTCATTTCCGTATTTCAGGTTACGATCGTTAGACCGAAGACCCCCCGATCGGAACGAACACTTCCATCGGAGAATCTCTCGTCGAGGGATCGTCCACTCTAGAGCCACTTTCCGTTCGATCGTTTCGTTTTCATTTTCAATATCCTGCTCGCAGTAGCACGCGCGGGCCAACTCGCCGGAGCGATTTTTCTCCTAGTGATAACGATCGATATCACGCACGACCCGCGAATTCCTCGCGCCGGTACTTTCTCCGCGAGATTCTGCTGATGATCTAGCACAGTTACGGCGGCGTGCAATCTGGACGGTGGCACGGGAAAACTTGTAGGAAAAGAAGCATGCGTGTCGTGTCAAATAGGATATGTGGCCGCGTGAAATGACGGCACGCGGGTCCGCAAAAGACGTATCATATCAGGCCAGCCTCGGCGAAATGGAACAATGTCGAGAGCCGTCGTAACGCTTTCTAACCGCGCTCTTGTTCTTCCTTTCGCGGTTCTCCCGATGATGAATGACTTTGCCTTTCGATTGACGCACGACTGGCTGAGTTATTCGGCTTTTGGGCGAAATCGGATGGTCTCTCTGGGCATAATTTATCTCGTTGATCCGGCAGTGCACCGGCTGAAGCTTCTGGAACGGAAGTGCTCGCATTGAGATGTTTGCCAATTCATGGTAAGGAATAATTTAAATTTATATTTGTGTATATATTTATACGATTTTATTCATATTTGTGTATATATTTGTACGTTTATATTTATATTTGTGTATATATTTATACATGTTTATTTATATTTGTGTATATATTTGTACGTTTATATTTATGTTTGTATTTATCTAAAACATCTATACATTTAATTTTACACAGTACAGGAATGTCTGTATGTTTTATGTTATTCTATTAAAATAATAGAAGAACATAAGAATACAATATTTTAAGTATACTTGACTTTAGACAATTCCAGACGTGAGAGAAGAGAATAATTAACAGGGTTATTCTATGTGCAAACATAATAATATAATATATAATATAAAAAAATGAGAAATAATTTTTTTTTTTCATTTCAAGCTCCATTCATTCAAGAAATTAGACTTTAAATATATATCTCGTTAAGAATTTAGTTTCAATCAATTGGAAACACAATTTCAATATCTGAAAATAAGAGACAATGGACTTGTAACACTTTCAAAATAAATGGTCCAATTCCTGCTGATAAAATCCGCATAATTGAACCTAAACTCCAATTATTAATGTTATTAATAATTAATATTTAATGATATGAATTTAATTTGTTCAATAATATTTAATAATGATTAGTATTACATAGGCATAAAATATTTATTCCCCGATATCAAGCGTAACTTCTCTACTATTTCTCAAACGATTATGATAAGTAGTTCAATCGAGGAACAAGTCCCAGGAAAATTACCCAAAGAACTTTCGAGATTCCTCGCGTTCGTTCGACATTTCAACAAAATGAAAATGCCACGGTCCGTTAATATTTCACGAGGATGATGGGCCACGATCGATGATCGATCAATGGCACCTAGTGATAATGACGACGACGATGACGACGACGATGATGATTAATCGGTTCTAAGTCGATCTCGTTGCGTCTCTAGCCGCGATTTCCTCGCTTCTTAACATTTATCGTTCAACGAGGGAAACTACTTGTTAGAAACTTGATAGACTCTTACGATCAAGAATATAGAGTAACACGGTAAAGGAGATTGTAAATTATTCGCGATCTCTTTGCCACGCAAAATGAGAACAGAAAATGAAAAATTTTCCGAAACAAACTTTATAATTATTTAAATAAAAATATATAGAAACATAGAACAATGTACATACAATAACGAAAAATGTAAATAAACATTGGAAATCAAAATAAACAGACCAATGTTTGTTTCCAAACAAAGCGAAATTTCAGTTTTCGCAATTTCGATTTGTACTTACCTATACTTAACTATACTTACCCAGTATCCATGAATTATCCACAAGTGCTGGAAATGATTTCACAATAATTCACTTAATACTAAATTAAGATACGAATACTTACCCATACTTAACAAAAGTATAAACTTTCCACACGTGTTCTCTGTAGGAGTCTGGCGTGCCACCTCCTCGAATCTTATGTTCTCCTCCTACAAATTCTAAAATTCCTCTAATGTTCCCTCATACAAATTCTCCTGATATCTCAAAAAATTTTTAAGCGCAAATAATCTGTGAACAGTCAGGTTTCACTTGATGAAATTTGAGAATATGTATCAGGAAAACATAAGATTCGAGAAACTAGCACGCCAGACTCCTAGAGACAGCTGTCCACCTAATACTTCAAATATTCAAAAAATTTTTAAGCGCGAATATTCTGTAAGCAGTCAGGTTTCACTTGACGAAATTTGAGAATTTGTATCAGGAGAACATAAGATTCGAGGAGGTGGCACGACGGACTCCAACACACAGCTGTGCTCCTGCTACTTCAAATATTCAAAAAAGTTTTAAGCGCGAATATTCTATAAGCAGACACGTTTCACTTGATGAAATTTGAGAATCTGTATCAGGGGAACATAAGATTCGAGGAGGTTGCACGACGGACTCGTACAGACAGCTATGCTCCTGATATTTCAAATACTCCAAAAATTGTTAAGCGCGAATATTCTGTAACAGGTCAGCTTTCACCTGATGAAATTTGAGAATTTGTATCAGGGGAACATAAGATTCTAGGTGCTGTCACTTCATACTCCTACAGACAGCTGTACTCCTGATACTTCAAATATTCAAAATATTTTTAACCTCGAATATTCTGTAAGCAGTAGGGTTTCACTTGATCAAATTTGAGAATTTGTATCAGGGGAACATAAGATTCGAGGAGCTGGCACGTCATACTCCTGCAGACAGCTGTGCTCCTGATACTTCAAATACTCCAAAAATTATT